AAAAACGAATTTTAAAAATAATATATTTCATCTAATTAATTAAGAATTAATTTTTTTATAAATTTTATGTAAATTAAAAGCATATTTATACAAATAAATCAAAAATTAAAAACAGTTTTAACAAACAGGGACAATTTGATCTTTTTTACATGAAACAGCTGGCTCATAACATTTTTCACGCAGCAGCATCAAACATACAAGCTGCTTCTCCACAGCTGCTTCCTAGGGCAGCGCAGCTGCAGCTGAAAAGCTGACAATCTGCAGCTAAGCCCAATCTGCAGCTACGCCAAACAGACCCTAAATCACAACACACTTGTGACTAAGCCGGCAACATGGTTGCTTGTCTCCCCTTCTTCTTTGGCTGACATATAATTTATAAGTTTTTTTTTGTTTAAATAAAAATTTACCTAATATTTTTTTTTAATGAATATCATAAAGGATATACAAAAAAAATTTATATAGTAATTCATTTTTTTTAAGAAGATAGAACAACCTTTAAAATAATCATGAGGTTTGTATATAGTAAGTGTTAAAACAATGAAGACAGAACACATTCTGTAATTTGTGCATTTGGTATGTATTAATGTAGAAAAATTATTAATGCAGAAATAATATTAATGTAGAAAGAAATATAAAATAGGAACTTAGCATATAAAACAATAAAAAATTATCTTTGTTTACCAAATCATGATATTGTTTTGCAGACGTTAAAAATTCTTATTAGCAATAAAAAGAAATAATAATCCTAAAATTGGATCATACATTTATCAAACAACTTTCACTTTAATTTATGAATGCTTTCAAATCTGTAACTTCTTGAATAACAAGAATGGATGCAATCATTTTGATGTGAGCAATAATAATTGAGCAAAACAAAATAAAATTATCAGAATCAATTACAATAATTGTAAGGCATCGAACACCATTCTCACCATCACAGAGTGATTCAAGGTTGACACATCCATGACCCATCCGTTTATGCGGTGTCACCAGATTTGCATCCCAAGCAACAAGCTAGAAAATATCAACTATCATTAAAGTTATCATTTAAGTTAATGCCAATCATCAGCCAATCTAACATGAATTATGAATAGTTAGGCAACTCCTTACCAACATAAATTATAAGAAAAATGAAAATATAAAACTTTGGGCTAACTACGAAGAATAATTGTTCCATGATGACATTATTTCTTTATAAAATAGGGAATACGATCAACTAAAATAAGAATACAAGAACATGTACACTAGAAAAGTTGCAAGCACAAATGAAAATTGCACCTCAAATGCATCTATAGGAACCAACACTGAAAATGAAAAAATGGAATGTAAATAAATGGATAAAGCAGATAATGGCAAGTGGAACACTTCTTATTGCATATAAATAAATAAATAAAGTAAATACCATCAATTCTTTTGTGGTAGCTAACTTGATGTTTAGAGTAAAATCCTCATTCCATGTTGGATGTGTCGTCCTACAAACATCAACATATAACTTTATTGCCACAAAATAATGATAAGTTGATTATAAGTAGAACGAATAAGTGAAATTCTTAATTATTTCCTGAGGCTTCACTTATTTGCCAAAATTAGGAACAGATTTTTAAAAACATAAAATCGGTGAAATCAATTATTTGGTTGAAAGTTGAGCGAGATAGAAAACAACTTTGAACTTCATAAAATCATTTTAAGACCTCCCCAAACATAATGATTTTAACTTCAAAGACAATGTTCTATGAATACCAAATTACATGGAAATAAGCATAAATTATGGCCAAGAATGAAACAACTAAAACCCAAAAGAATTCAAGAGAATGAAGAGAGTGAAATCCAATGATGAATCAATGCATCTCAATGATTGTTCAGAACAAAGAATAGCAACTCACCCCCATTTGGCATTGCTTTTGGCAACCTGTCCGTCCAAATGAAAGATCACATAAGGGTCACTTGTTCCCTGAAGTTCACAGCACAAAGTAACTTAAATCACTGATAAATAATTATAAATCAAAATTCTTCTAAAAATTAAAATGTTAAATCATCAACTTGACCAAACTGGAAAGACACGTAGCACTACTTGACATGTATTACTTCATTTACTAATTAGGCCATTTCTTGACCTGAATGCATTAGTTTCTCAACAAAGAAAATCAAAATTTAGTTGCATCATATGATGAACATCAGATGCTTCTGAAGACTCAAAATTAAGAACTAATGTACGTGATAAATCAACAATATAATGTTAAACCTCAATAAAATGCAAATGAAAAAAGACTGCCTTAGGTTTCTTATCTACTATCTCAAATATAAGATTAGGTTGCAAAATCAGTTTTAATGTTCCATAAAGATCAAAAGTTAAAGAGCATTCCCATTGAAACTGTCAGTTTCCAGTATTCAATCAAGGGTGTCTTGACTCTACATATACATTAATAACAAATCGCCAATCACAAATTCTCAAGGGCTTGTTTGAAATCACCCTTTTTTTTTGCTTTATTTTAAAAACATGTTTATTTAGTGTAATTTGTTAAGGTTTTTAGTTTTGATTTCAAATACAAATTAGCTTGTTCTTAAAAATACTAAAAACATCTAAAATTTGTTTTGAGTTTTTTTAAAAACAACTAAACATGTTATAACATACCAAACAAATTTTATTTTTTAAGTAAAAACAAAAACAAAAAACAAAAATTAAAAGTGATCCCAAGAAACCCCTAAAGTACTAAATATGGATTTGCTCTACGGTTAACTGCAACTCACTTATCAATTACAAATATATGAGAAAAAGAGTGCACCCATAGATCCATCACTGGAAGGTCCACGCCTTCTCGTAATTTAATGTAAAGCTGCCCATCATAAACCTCTCGAAGAAATGAACTGCATAGAACATAGAAGTAAAGTGTTCAGTTTGACCGTGAATTCATAAAAGGAATGCTACTGAGGACAATGTCAACAAATCAGTCAGAATAATTAACCATTTTGACCAATTCTCTAAGGCCTCATTTTTTTTAAGACCCACATAGTCAATGCAATTTCAACACAGTTTATATGATGAATTACGCATAAGAGTGTTGTGATTGATAAACAACAAAAAATTGAACCAAAATTAAATTTTTATTACGATATATATGTTATAGATGATGTCGAAATCCAATGATTTGATTCAGAGTTACTTCATACACTGCAATACAAAAACAATTACTTCTTACAGTAAAACCAAAAGATCAACATGAAATTGTACAGTTTCAGCCATGAAATTACAGCTCTGCAAAAAAGCAAAATCAGCAAATGAAACGAATCCAACTCCTACTGTGAAAGAATCACCGTTTGGCACTGAGCTGCATCCATCTCACGCCACCCCACGCCTTGCTACAAGAGAAAGCAGAGGTTCACAACACATCCCAAATCCTTGAAGCCAAAAGTGCCGTGCCCAAGTGTCAGATATCCTACCGGAGGGCTGGTGTAGGCCTCGAAGGCGAATCCCGCGAGAACGACGGCGAGGTTGAGATCGAAAGAAGGTCGATGGCCACCATCACCAGTCGATCTCTCATCATCCTCCGTCGTTAAACAAGAACTCGCCAATGAAATGCATCGCTTTCCTCTGCGATTTGAACCAAAAAACCTAGCTTTTTTCGGGTGTCCGTCGAGAAAGATGTGAGCTTTGTTGAGGCGGAAGAAGAATCCAGTAGGGTCATGAAGGAAAGGATTCCGGAGGAGCACGGACTCAGTGAGATAAACCATTAGAGAGAGAGAGAGCGGGAGAGAGACGGTAGAGCGAGTGATAAGTAGAGAGCAACGACGTGCTTTGTTTTGAATTGAAGTTTGTAGAAAGAACGAGTGTCTTCTTCCAACAATATATCTATATGTACATATATATTTGAGCCAAAGTGAACTAGTAGGGGATGAGAGTACATAATTTTGTTTTTGTAGGGAGGACTCGAGAGAGGTCTCTTTATTTTTATTTTTATCACGTACTTATACAGACGTGTTTTGTATAATTATAAAAAGAAGGGAATAATTATAGAAATCGTTCTTAAAGTAAGTAACAAAGACTCTAATTGATTATATAGATTTTATATCATATTTGCATTACAATTTGAATTTCAAAATTGACGGTAATTGAATGGTCGGCTGGCTTGAAGTCAGCCAAGTGAGGCGATCGGCCGAGTGGAGTTTTTACCTTCTGAAGTGCATGTTGGTCAGTCGGGGTGTTCGACCGCCTAGCAATCTGACTCAGTGTTTTTCGACACAGTCGATCAGAGCGATCGATTGTGAGGCGGTCGTTCGGTCTGGACGTGGTCGGTCGGTCGAACATGACCAGCCAACTTTCTTCATTAAGCTGTTGCTCAATTTTCGTTCGGCTGAGTCTTTAATTCTATAAGTACAACATAGACAAGACCAATAAGAGTTGCTTCTTATTCAAGTTAGTATAGATAGAATTATCTTTTTTGCTTCTCATTTATTTTATAGTAAAAGAATTTTTTCTTCCTTCAATAACTTCCATACCACATAATTTTTATATACCTATCTAGCATCTAAACTTTAATAATTACATTTATCATCCTTCGGTTTCAAAAACTTATACATAAGAATTTATATTTCACTTTTATAAAATTTACAGTAGTGACATTTTTAATATAATATTAAAAAAATTAGTACATCAGAAAGTTAGACATGTAAATACAAAAGATTTGTGTAGTATGTATGTAATTGCCTCTTTTGGGAAAAAAATGATATTATTTTATAAGAATAAAAACACTAATTAAAAGGTAATGATTATGCTTGATATAAGCTGTTAAGGTAATTATATTTGGTGCAGTTTGGATGTAACATGTCAGGATTCTTGTTAGGTAATTATATTTGGTGCTTCATATCATGCCATTTTTTATCATTATTTGTTTTACATCGAGTTTGGTCATGAGCAAATAAGGAATGATATAGAAACTACAATAAGGGTGAGTTTGGTCATGAGCAAATAAGGAATGATATAGAATGCAAAATTTTGGGCATGGTTGATGTCTGCAGGAATATGGATGTTAGTGTCAACTGTGCTGAAGAATGTGAGTTTTGTTCCTAAGATCCTCTTGAATTTAATCTTCACTGGTACGCTTGATGATGAATGATAGCATAATCACTCCGGTGAAGATAAATGGAAGCTCACTAAGGGGTATTTGGTGGTTTCTAGAGGAAAGAAGCACAATTCTCTTTTTGTGATGGAGGCTCAGTCTTATGTGGGAAAAGTGAATGCAATTGATGATTCATCCACTCAGCTATGACATATGCAACTTAGTCACATGAGTCAGAATGGTATGAGAAAGCCGTCCTAAAACTATCAAATTAGAGGTATGTATTCATTGTTTGGTTGGTAAACAACGTAGTGTAGCTTTTAAAACTGTCCCTTCATCTAGAAAATGTAATGTGAATGGTTTGGTGTATACTAATATTTGTTCTATGGATATTACAAGGGCGATTGTTTTTATATTACATACATTGATGATCATTTCGGAAAAGCTTGGGCTTACAAATTGAGATATAAAGGCCAAGATTTGGTTTCTTTAACATTTTTTAGGTGTTGTTTGAAAGTAAAACTAGAAAAAACTTGAAATGCATCCTTTATTATTTGCATCCGAATTTGCATCTCAAAATTCCATCACTATAAATTTTCATAGAAAAAGCAAGTGACGCTAGATTACCTATGCATTAGCGTCAAACTTAGCTGACGCTAATTAGCGTCAACCAATGTCGACATTAATTAACATTGACCAAGTTGGATGTTAATTAGCATCTACAAGATTCGTTTCTAAAGTGTAAGAATAACGTATTAGCATCGAAATATTCGGACGCTAATCCAACGCTAACATGTAAAAAACAAAAAAAAATGGAGCATAATGATTAGATTTCCACATACCTGTGCAGAACAAACACAAGCAACATAATATGTCATTTATCTATCATTAGAAAAGATAAAATAAATCCCAAACATAACTAAATAATGATACTAAATGAAATTAAAGATAAAGGGATCAAAGTGCTCAAAGTTCACAACTACATAAATTAAAAATTTGATTAAGAAGAAATGAAGAAACTTGCTTCTCATCACCATCCAACTCCTCCTCCTCATCCTCCTCGAAAGCAATCTTATGTTGCTCGTCTCAAAACTCTCCGTCAGGCATGTCACAGATACTCATATACTATTATTATTATTATTATTTTAAAAAATCGTATGCTTTATAATGATGCAGATACTCAGATACTCACTTATGAATGGAAAAAAATACTTAAAGAGCGTAAACATTAATGAAATTTGGGGATGGAAATAGTCTATTTTTTTAGGATGAGCAAACTTATTATGTTGTTAAAATTTTCTATACACTCATTATTTTTCCTATGAAATTTCAAATTTTATTCATTATAAACTATATTATTTTTAAGTGATAGAAGATTATAAGTAATTTTACACAAGAAGTGACTAATTTTTTCTTAAGCTAATAGTTGGTTACCAATAGGTTGGAGTTTCTTTATGTGATTTCATTGTGCATTGCATCCTAGATTGCATCAGTAATTATTTTTCTCTATTTTAAATTGATATTGTGCTCATAGTTTAGCCATCACTTTAATCAAAATAGAAAATGATACTTCCATAAACAAATTAATAAAAGGCATCAATTTAAGCTAAATTGAGTAAGACAACATAGTACTTCAAACCTGTAACTACAATTGAATTTTTTTTAATGTTATTGACACTAAATATTCATGTGCATTAGCAAATTTGTTAGTGATAA